ACACACACTGGGGAAGAGACTGGGTGAAGCTAATGGTCCAGCAGAAAGTGCTGGACCTTTTAAGTTAAGTTTTTTGTCAGTTTTGTTTGCATTAAATAAAAAAGATGTTGCTGAGCACCCAATGGTTGGACTGGTTCGTCTCTGGCTGTCGTGGTGGGAACCCCGTGGCATGGTCGACTGCCACAGACATATAGACAATTTCTGTCGAATGCACTAAATAAGTGATCTTTGATGATATTAAAAGATAGTCAATCCTGGAGTATGTTTGGTGCAGAGATGAGAAAAAAGTAAATTGTGTCTTGTCTGGGTGATGTGCTCTCCAAATGTCTACCATAGAAATGTAACTGGTTCGTCCCTGAACCGCCTGTAGTGTTTGCGTAATCTTGTGTATAACCGACAAATTCAAAGACGGGTGAAAACATAACTTTGTGGGTGGTGTGGGGATCAGACGTGGTAGACGACACCCTGCCTAACCAGTTCATATCATACTTGTGTCTTAAATCTGTGGATTTATTATTTCAAATTGAGCTAAATCCATTTTCCTCCCATGTATAGATGCTGCAGAAATGAAGACTACCTCCCGCTCCTGGATCATTACTTTCCTCATCATGTCCATCACTATCATACTGCTTGTTGATTGATCTGCTTATTCAAATCAAAGAAGTAAGTAGGTAAAGTGTGCAAAATAACATGCATTGTCCTCCTGTGGCATATTTTAAATGATGTTCTCTTGGTAGGAGGGGCTTTTACTCTCTTGTGAACATGAAAAATGTGGAAGCAACAGTGAGACAGAAGACTGACCTTCATCTGTCAACACGTAACGGCATTTTTTCCGATTAATCTGTCCATTTAATCTCTTCAAGAAGTGACTCCTAAATCTGTCTCTACTGCTGCGAACTACATTTTTGCTTGTAATGCTTCCTGTACAATTTTTTAGTTCAAGTGTGTTTATTACGATATCATCTCTTTGTTACTTTTGCAATACTCACCTGGCCCAAATCAGTGCCAAGTGCCTTTCTGTTAGAGACCATCTTTGTTTTGTATGTAATGATGCAGCTTATTCCTTCACATTCAAGCTATTTTATCTCATGCAGTCATGGCAAGTATAGTAGTTAATATAGTATCCAAGGCTTTTTAAAGACAAACTGTCCATGAATGAAATCAGTTCAGGTCGTGCTAGGTTTATAGATATTGGTATCACTATAGGACTCAAGCAAAGACTGTTTGTGATGTACCTTTGCACCGTTTACATCCACCACTGTTGTCTTCACATGTGTGTCCAACTGGACACAACAGACTCTCTTCTTTACCAGCTGAAACCATACATGGCCTCGTATTAAGTCAGATTTTAAGCTTTTTTATATACTCATTAGCATTGGCAAAAAAACTGTTTTTTTATACTCCCAACATTGACTATGATTACATGGAGAGCAATTGTATCACTATTAACCTAATGATTCCACTTGTGATGTTCACCTTAGTTAATAATAGAACATTCCATTCATACTCCTGTTTACATGTTACAGATCATAGTCTGATTAGTCTTACCACTTCTTGTTTACACTTGAACCAAGGGTATGTGCCACCAAGTAGCTGGTAACTGCCATATGTCCATATAGCGATTGATACGTCTACATAATGTGACTTAAGTCAGAATATTCCACATGTCTGGATTTGATTCGGACTCAGGCCGGGCATACACTGTGCAATTTGAGAAGGACCTTTCGCGTGACTTCAAATCAGAGCGATTTTCAGGTTCGTCAGGCTCCTGCACTCGAGTGGATTTCCCGATAATTAGCAGGTTTTCTCTCACTCTGTCTGCATTAAATGGCAAAGCACAAAAGTAGGCACAATAGTAGGAAATGTCGTTAATGGTCTGAAGCAATTGCACAGCAAGCAAGGTGATGAATTTACAATACAGTTGCCTCAAATACAGTTTGTTTGCTTGCCACAAAGATGGCCGAATCAAAATGCCCATGTCTTCCAAGCTACTTGTGTGTCTGAATGCTGATGCCTCTGGCACACAGGGTGACAAATGATCAAGGCAGCATGTTTCTTCCTTGTTCGCCTATCAGCAAACAAACCTTGAATTCTTCTTCAAAACGCCGACCTAGCGTAGAGTCTGAGCAGTCAGGTCTCGATCTACTCTTTAACGACATCATTTCTATGTTCAGGTTAATAGTGGAATATTGGTGTCCATGTTACAGTAATGTGGCCAGTAATAACAATTGCTCAGCAGATAGCTGTGATGTATTGGTGAACAGGTGAAAAGTTCTTCACGCTGTGGAAGCTGATGGACTCTTTGCTGCGCCAGCGTGTGCACTTTGAGGATCGGACAAAGCCCAGCAGCAATGCTGTTACTGCCCCAGGAGCCTGTAGTAGTCTTACAGTCCTCCTCTGATCAAAATCCCATTTTAGTCCCCCTCTTGCCTTTTATATGATAAGCCATAGAGAACCATAGTTATAGGTGGACTGGGAACTGATCTGCCCTGTGATTGGTCAAAGTCTCCTTTGACCAATCAAAACAAAGCAGCCTCTTKAAAGTCATTCATAAAAACCGATGCCATGTTTACTGTACTACCAAACCCAATGTGTCTCATACCACCGGTGACATCAGATGGGCTGATGTGGGGCTACTTTAGATCACATGACTCAGACATGACGGGAACTTGACGTTGTGCTGATCTGTCAACTCATCTTGACATTTGGGAGAAAAAATGTTGTGATGCACAAACGTGGATGTTAATGTTGTGATGCACAAATCTCTCTTCATCCACTAACAAGGTGCTGTGGTAGCTTTTAARCTTAAAGTTTAATGAAGTCTTGAAGACTTTTATTTTCTATGTTAGAAAACATAAACTATCTGTGGATTAAACTGGTAGGGCATGTCCAGACA